TAACAAGAAGAAGTTGGATAATCCTCAAATTCATAACCTCTCTTTACACTATCCTAACAGTCCCACGTCCCCAAAAGGAGAGGAGAATGTAGGGTCTGCTTACCCTGGGGGACAGGGGAGAGGGGGCCACTACACAAACAGCCAGAGGAAGTCAGTTAGCACTGGGACGGTCTTAAGGAATGGACGCCGGTCTGCTTGGAGCAGCTGGGCCCAGACTCGGAGAGGAATTCACTCACTCAGTGCTCTATCCCACGGACCTCCATCAACACCAGAAGGAAGACAGGACCAGGGAGAGGCTGACAGGAGTGCCCCTCCTGGATGGGAAAAAGGGAGAGACGTGGGTGGACTCCAGGAAGAAAGCTGGGGTGCTGTGTGTAGAGGGTGCTGAGTAACAGAGCTAGAACTGCAGGGGGAGGTGCAAGAGTGGCTGCTGCAGGGAAGCGTCTCAGGGTCTCAGGGAGGGGTTAGGGACCACAGTAGCCGCAATGTTACCACCGTAGCTGGAGGGTACACAATGTTACCACTGTAGATAGACAGACTATGTACAATGTTACCACTATTGCTGCTATATACAAGGTAACCACTGTGGACCAACTATGCACCACCTTACCAATGGTTGAGCTAATGGATGCTGATTGCCCTGATATAACCAGCATACAATGTGTATAAGTACGGAAAGATCACATTGTAACAACTAGTATGTGAATAAGAAACTGTTTTTCCAAAAGAGTTCATTCCTTGGCCCAGGGTGATCAGCTTTAGCTGGGAGACTATCGGGAAACCCTTTCCACCTCCACAGACACATATTTAAAAAGTGCCAGAGGGACCATCAGATGGTGTAGTGGTTATGTTACTGGATTCCTAAGTAGCAGCGTGTGTTCGAGTCCCAGACCCAGCAGCTTGAAACACCAGGTGCATGTGCGTGCGTGCCCGAGATCCCAAGAGGGGAACCGAGGGAAAGGGACTGTGGCATGACCAGCCCCTCTGGGAGCAACTTCTTGCTTTCTGGTTCTCTGTCTCTCCAGTAAATGCACACACCCTATAGCAAAAACCTCTATTACAAAAAAAAAAGTGCCAGAACTAATCAATGAGTTTAAGAAAGTACAGAAAGTCAGTACACAAAAAGCATTCTTTCCTATATACTAACAAGAGTCAGAAAATAACTTTTAAAAATTACCGTTTCCTATAGCATCAAAAGTATAAACTACTTGGGGACAAATGTGACTAAAGAGCTATAAAACACACACCAGAAATGACGAATTACCATTTAGAGAAATCAAAGACCTAAATAAACGGGCAGGGTTGGCCCCATAGCTGGGTGGTGACGGGAGCTGGTTCCCACACAGCTGACCGCAGTCCGGGTCCCAAGCCCAGAGACCTGAGCGACACACTGGCACACGTGTGTGCCCAAAACCCTCATGGTGGCATGGCCACGCCCCACTGGGAGGTGCTCTCCTCCCTCTCGCTCTCTCCTTCTTTCTGTCTCTCTGGCAAGCACATGCACCCTCTGGCAATTAAAAACATAAAGAGAATAAACGAATAGCTCGGGCATGTACACGGGTCCCATTTCTCAATACTGCTGCAGTTCTCCCACTGATGCATCGATTCAGAGCAATCCCCCTGAAAATGCCACCAGTAATTTTCGTAGGAATTGACAAAGTGAATCTAACATTTACATGGAAAAATAAAAGCAAAAGAGTAAAATCGATTTCTAAGGAGAACATAGTTGGAAGACTGACATCACCTCGTGTAAGTCTTTTTATAGAGTTACTGTTCTCAAGGCAGTGTGGGATTACCATAAACACAGTCGTATTGACAAATCCGGAACTTGACCCATATGTATATGGGCAATTGATTCATTCGTTAATCAAAACAAAGAACAAAAACCAGTCCAATCAGGAAGGTATAATCTTTCCCAAAAATTACGCTGGTACACTTGGATATCCAAATAAACAAACCTCAACTCTTCCCTCACACCGTATCACAGAAGTCACCTCTAATGGGTCATAGACCTAAATGTAAAAGTTAAAATTATAAAATTTGGGGAAAAAGAGAAGCAGATTTTAGTAACTTTGGGTTAGACAAGGATCTTTTTTTAGAGAGAGCTTTTGCTATGGGGTACGTGTGCTTACCAGAGAGACAGAGAAAGACAGAGAGACAGAAAGCAAGAAGTCACCGCTGGGGAAATGGCCACACCGCAGTCCCTTCTCTTGGGACCTCCAGCATACACTCACAGGCAACCAGCATGAGTTTAAGTCACTAGGTCCGGGACTGCACCGTGGTCGGCTACGTGAGAGTCCAGTGATGTAACTGTTAAGCCACCGGCTGGTCCCGACAGAGATTTCTTAAATAAGACAAAAAGCATGAACTCTGAGCCAGCCGATGATGTGGGGATTAAGGCAGTGGATCCTACATGGCCAACTACACGGTTCAAGTCCCAGAGCAGTGGTCTGAAAAGCACCTGGCCCAAGCACATGTGTGCCCAGCAGCCCAGGAGAGAGAAAGGAAGAGAAGGAGCAGGGGGGGCTCCTCCACGGGGGCCACTTCTTACTTTCTCCTCTCTCTCGCTCCCTCTTTTACTCTGGTGAGTGCATGCACCCTTTGACAAAAATCATTTTTTAAAAAGAATAAACTTTAAAAGAAAACTATTGATCGGCTAGACTTTATCAAAATTAAAGACTTTACATATCAAAAGAGAGAGTTTAGACCCAGCTCTGCAATACTGAGTCACCCAGGAAGGGCCCAGGTCCGCGGCCCGCAGTCCCTCTGCACACACCAGGTATGCACACAGGCCTGCAGCGTACCCGGGGCCTCGGGACGTGAACCTGGAACCTTCCCTTGCAGTTGCAGCATTGGAGAGTGTTGTTTCACACTGTGCCATCTGGGCTGGCCAGGACATAGTCTATACACAACTAAAATTAACCCGCGGGGCGGCCTCCCCTCCGTAATGACAGTCTATGCACAACTAAAATTAACCCGTGGGGCGGCCTCCCCTTCGTAATGACAGCATACAGAGAAAAAAAGCGGGGCTGGCGTGGCCTGGGTCGAGGCGATGCCGGCTCGGAGCCTGGGGCAGGCCTTCCTCTAATGTACCCTCACCCGAGAGCTCTCTGGGTCATTTACGAAGGCAGCAGTCTCACTCACTCCCACAGGCCAGGGAGAGCGCCCTGCGTGTGGACGTTACTTCTCACAGGCGGTCAGCCAATGGAACACGGACGGGGACAGGGTGTCTGTGATCACGTGGACAGGACGAGGGCCTTGTGACTGGGAACAGGCTTGCTGGGGGCTCTGACCTCCTGCCTTCCTCGTCAGCACACAGAGGACAGAGCACGCTCGGAGCTGACTGTGGGAATGCAATGCAGGACGAGCAGTCCACCAGCGCCTGCCCCACCCCCCATGGCCCGATCACCCCCGAACACGGCTTCTGTGAGCCACGGGGCGGCGAGGGCCTGTGCGGGGCTGACTTCAGCAAGTGCACCCGCCGAGCCTTGAAGGGGTCTGGAAGGCACTCAGGCCAGACATCACCCTCAGACGCTGTTTTCTGCCCTGATTACCAAGAAAATAACTGGCAATAGCACCTGCAACCACCGCGGCCTCTGCGTGGTGATGTCTCCCTGCAGCCGTGTGTGTGTGCGTGTGCATGAGTGTGTACACATGAGTGTGTGTGAGAGGAGTGCGTATCTGAGTGTGACCGTGAGTGTGTGACTGAGTGTGTGAGTGTATGTGGGAGAGTGTGTGAGAGGGAGATCTAAGTGTGTGAGAGTGAGTGTTTGGGACTGAGTGTGTGAGTATATGTATAAGAGTGTGTGTGAGAGTGTGTGAGTGTGAAAGTGAGCATGCGAGTGTATGAGAGAATGTGTGTGTGTGTGCAAGTGAGCGTGTGAGCATGAGTGTGTGCCTGTCGCCGGGACGCAGCCCTCTAATGAGACCCCGAGGGGCACGGGCAGGGGCAGAGGCAGCTGGAGGGCAGTGCTGTGCTGAGAGCCCCCACTGCTGACCTCAGAGGGCTCAGCACATGAGTGCTTTTCTGAGTTAAATTTATCATATAAAAAAAGGTAAAAGAATTAAATGTTCACATTTGTGAAAATTAGAGGAAGAGCGCCCTAATATTCTAAATTTTCGGAAATCACACCTACGAGGTGCACAGAAGCCCGTGTAGCACGCGTGCTGTGTGCAGGCGAGCACACACGTTGCTCAGGCTGGGCTGACTGCAGGCGGTCTGACAGCTGACACAAACCTGGGATGCGCTGTCTGCTCTCAGGGAGCCCAGGGAGCGCCCGGGTGGGCGGGAGCCCGGCCAGGATGCCGCGGTGACAGGCAAGTGGTGCGGGTGGCCCTCCTCCTTCTTCCCTTTGTTTTTTATTTAAAGTAATTTCACGACAAGTTGAATCTAATCTTTTTCTTTCAATAAACTCAGTTATAGAGAAAATGGTATTATTTCCATTATAAATAAAGTAAAAAAACCACAAGAGCAATCTAGAAATTTGAAGCCATTACTAAGAAGGTTAATTATAAATAATTTTTAAAAAGAAGCCTTTTAAAGATTAGCTCATTATTTGAACAGTCTCTATATTAATAAACATGTACATGAGTATGTGTGTGTGTGTGAGTGCACGTGTGTGCACCAGAAAGAGAAAGCGACAGAGACAGAGACAGAGACAGAGGGGGAGAGAAGCAGCATGGATGAGGTTAGCTGCCGGGGCAGGCCGGGCCTGAGGGTGCGGGGTGGGTGGCCCCCACCGGCCTCCCTGCCACCACCTGCCCTGGAGCAGGCTGAGGGTGGGGCGTGTGCACAACAGAGAACCTCTCGTTTCTCTACTTCTGAAGCAGCGAGAGGGAGAAACGCAGGCCTTGGACAAGGGCGGCCTGGAAGCTCGAGCGGCCCAGACACTGCGACGTCACTCCCCGCCCTGGCCCGCCAGAAGGAGCGCGCCCTCCTGCAGAAATGCAGAGGCCTCCGGGTGGCCCTGAGCCGCTCTGGCCGGCCCCGGGCCCCATACCTGCTCCTGAAGCCTGATGTTGCCCCACACCTTGCGACACACCAGGCACTCGAAGGCATCGATGTGGCTGTCCTGGGTGGCATCCTGCACGCCCCAGCGCCGCTCCCTCAGGGCCATCAGAAGCCGCTGGTTGGAGATCTCGCCCTTCCACTTCCACTCCACGTAGGCCTCGTACAGCCGGTCGTCCTGGTCCAGACGTCGGATGTACCGCGCCAGCTCCCTGGGGTGCGGGAACTCGGACACGAGGATGACGCTCCTGTTGCTTGGCAGCCAGTCTGCGACGCTGGGGGACCCGTAGTACACAGGGACCACCCCCAGCTTCAGGGGCCTCCACAGCTTCTCGGTGATGTAGTCGTCGCAGACGGCGTTCTCGAAGGCCAGGATGAACTTGTACTGTGCGATGATCCTGTAGAAGCCGTCGGCGTCCATGGAGGCGGGATTCTGCAGCTGCAGAGGGAGCTCTCTGTTCCGCAAGCACGCGCCGTAGGAATCCACCTCGATGTAGGTCATCAGCTCGCGGACGTAGCTGTCCCTGTCCGACGGCGGGTCGCAGTCCGACTGGACGTACACCAGCGGGGCGAGCGTCCGCCTGAGGTGGTTCTTGGCCTGCAGAGGGACGAGGTAGCGCAGGGACCGCAGGACGTGCACGCCCTCCAGGTACTGGGTGGTGAGGGGCAGGTGCGAGTGCCGGCTGAAGGTGGCCGTGTGGTTGAACAAGGTGATGACCGGCTCGTGGAAGAGCTTGTAGTTGTTCTTCGGGGACTCCTCGTGGAAAAGGGCCCAGTCGTGATGTGCTTTCCGGGGCAGAGGCAGGCTATTGATGCTGAAGTCAGTACCTGGGGAGGAAGGAGAGTGTCACCAGCACAGCCAGAGAGGTGTGACCGTACGAAGCTCCTGCTCAGAGGCACCACCACGCAGAAGGGCTGTCTCTCTCTCTCTCTTTTGTTTTTTTGTCATAGGGTACATGTACTCACTGGAAAGAGACAGAGAGAGAAAGAGAGAGACAGACAAATCACCTCCTGGGGGATGGCCACACCAAAATCCCCTTTCCTCCGTTCTCTTCCTGGGATTTTGGACACACACATACATGCCCAGCATGACTTTGTAAGCTGCCCGGTCCAGGACTTGAACCATGGTCAGCCATATGGGAGGCCAGCACCTTAAGCACACGCCTCGTGCTGGCCCATCTTTCTCATCTTATGACAAAGGAAATGGCCGTGTCTGGGCAGGTTCTAAAGGAGAATGTATTCTACCGTCTCGCAGTAAGCTCTTCCGGAGGTGCCGTCGGTGACAGGGCAGGGAACGTGAGGAGAGAAACAGTTCTTTACAAAGAAAGGAGCAAGAGGAAGCCGGAAAGAACAAAAGCGACCAGGTTGGCAGGTGGATTTGCAGGGTGTGTGTGTGTGTGTGTGTGTGTGTGTGTGTGTGAAAACGTGGAAAAGGAGCCAGCAGAAACATACCGGATGCATTTCTTAACCCAGCGTGACTGATGTCAGCAAATGCAGTTAATCGATCGTAGTCCAATGGCAGGCAAGAGGCTTTTAAGACCAAAGAGCTGATAATGGCACCGCGCTGCAGACCACGGCAGGATGACGATGAGCCAGCGCCCAAGAAATAGACGGCCTCACAGGATCGTAATGAGGAGAGGTTCCAGCTCCCACGGGGTTCATCGGAAGGCCCCTGAGACGTGACGGTGTGCAGAGGGGCTGGATGTGGTTAGCGACTGCGTCCCGACTGTGCGGCTGGGGCCCCGGCCCGCGCCTTCTACAGCTGAGAGGAAAACAAGGGCGGCACCATGGTGGGCGGCAGCCTCTCTGGGCGTCCCGAGCATTGGTACGTCTGCGGACCCTGATCCAAACACGGGAAGGAGACGGCGGACAACCGGGATGCTCTGTGAGGTCGCCCCCAGGGGAGCCTCGGGGCTGGAATGTGCAGACCTTCCTGGGTGCACTGAGCCCATAGCCGAGGCCGGCCGGGACCTGGTCGGGGTGCTGTGTGTGTGTGTGTGTGTGTGTGTTCACGTTACACGTACAGCTCCTTTTCTCTCTGTCTCCCTCCCTGATGCAAGAAATAAATAAACTGAAAGAAGAACTCATCTTCCAGCACCCCCTGGGGGAGAGAGGAGAACACCAAGGCCACACTCCCAGAACAAAACACAGTCTGGCAGGGCTCACAGAACGAACTGCTGCTGCCAGGGCACTCTTCTCAGATAAAAATAAACTCTCTGATGCCAAGAGTGCACCAAGGAGAAACTAGTTAGTCAAGAAAGGCTTTTTTTTTTTTTTTTTGGAGAGGTTTTTGCTATAGGGCGCATGCACTCGCCAGAGAGACAGAGACAGAGAGACAGAAAGCAAGAAATCACCCCCCCAGAGGGGATGGCCACACCGCAATCCCTTCCCCTCCATTCTCCTCTTGGGATCTTGGGCACACACGCACACGTGCCCAGCCTGAGTTTAAGCCACCAGATCCAGGACTTGAACCGCAGTCGACTACATGGGAATTCAGAGACATAGCCATTATGCTAACTGCTGGTCCCTCAAGAAAGGCTTTGAATCAGCTAAAGATCAGGTAAGGTCACGCCAGCAGACAGGTGCTGGCAGAGAAATGGCCGAAGGACACCTGTTATGGGTACAGGCTTTCACTCTGTCGTGGGCAATGAGTGATCAATGTGAAAGTGGAGAAGAGTCGACTGCTTGGCTTGGCTCCATCTGACCTTTGACATCCAGGCACATGCACCCACACATGGAATTGCAATGGCTACGGAGGTGGAGCCGGCAAAGGGCGACGATCACCGAAGCAGAGACGCGAGCACACGAGAGCTCGGGGACAGTGGCAATCACCACGTGGAAGCTGGCTGCTCCATGGGTTCGGGCTGGCCGGGACCGTGTGGGCACTGGACCCAGGAGGCTGCGTGAGAACACGGAGCTTCCACTAGACAGAGCAGAGTCCAGCCGTCCACTCCGCAGAGAACACGCCAGTCCCAGCCGTGGGAGTCGGAGGCAGAGGTGCAGGCCGGAAGACCAAGACCGCAGAGGACAGGATTAAGACAGGACTAGGTCGGGAACTCGCTGAGGAGGGTCGGGAGAGGGCCTGAGGGAGTGGGGTCCTCAGCTGGCCGCTGGGTGCCAGGTGATTCTAGACAGGGTCAGTGGAGATCCCACCTGCAGAGCAGGCCGCTGTAGAGGGACGGGGCCGGGCCCCCTCTGCCGGCCGAGCCAGGGAGCTGTGGGAGCAGCTAGGTGACAGCCGTGTGGGTGGTCGGAAGGGCATCCCAACCCGCCATTGGCATTGGCGAGGGCCGACATTCAGGGAGCCGGTTCCGGTCCCGCTGCCTCCCGCAGAGCGGTGTCCGGGGCAGGCAGGGAAAGCGAAAGGCCAGGCGCGCTCCATAGCGGCAAAAACACTTCCATTTCTGGGCTGAGAAGCATCGGGCCGTTTTAAAATGAATATGACATCCTCACTCACCTCTGAAGTCTGCTCGGCGTGCAGGGCAGCCCGCGTAGGGGTGGGGCGTCCCTTTAATAGAGAGCAGAAATGAGCTGCACTGATGGCGTGCCAGCCACCTCCACTGCTGCTCGGATTCGCACCTGGGATTCGAACCCTCATTCCCGGGTGAGCGAGTGCCCACCGAGTCCTGACAAGTGCGTACGCCCCTTCCAGCAGCAGTGGGGAGCAGAGCTGCATGGAGAGGAGGGGCCCACCACTCAGAATCCAGATGGAGCCCAGGTGCTGCTGCACGGAACGGCAACCACAGTGTGGACCAGGGCTGCCACCGCAGGCGAGCCGCGGGGCAGGGCGGGGCGGGCAGCGCGGGCGGGGTGTGCAGGGAAGGCCATCACACGCTAACCCCTTTACTACCAAGGGCTGAGCCCAGCGGGCCCACGGCGTCCTACTGGTGAGGACCAAGGGCTGGCAGCGGCCACCGGCTGGGCAGTTGAGCAGTGACTCGGCACACAGGCCGCTCTGGCTGTCAGTGTGCCCGGGAACAGCAGACCTGGCTTGGAGGAAGGAAATGCCCCACACAGCATTCCCCAGAGGTGGCCACTGTTCTGTGAGAGACCCTCGTCCTGGCCGTGTGGGGGCACTCTCACTCAGGACCCAAGAGAAACCCCACTTCTCTCTAGGGGTTCGCTGGTGTCACAACATGGGTCTTGCTCCCTTCTCACAGGCAAGGTGCCTCCTGAAGCCCGAGGTGCTGCCACTGAGGTGCCCCCTCAGCCGGGAGGGCCCCCCGCCCTCCCACGCACACACCTGGCTGCCCCACCCCTGCTGCCTCGGCCTTCCCAGTTGCTCCTAGAAGGTGGGTGTGAGCTGAGAACTCTCAGATCCCTCGGGGTCCTCAGCAGTGTGCAGTGTGGTGTCCACACCCCTCCCCCGCCCTGCCACATGCA